GGGACCAAAAGCAATGTTTTTAATGTAAAAATTACGAAAAAATGTTAGTTTTCTGCAAAAGCCAATATTTCAAAAAGAAATAAAGCTATTGAGATGAACTATAAAATAAACTATATTTTAAAGTTTAATATATTTCACCGTAGTGGGTCGATTTTGATGATTTTTTAAGCAATATGTAGCTAAATTATTTGACTTTTTAGTATCGCTTTCTAAATTAAAAATGAAAGTTTCCATCTGTCAATTATACGAAGGAAAACAAAATGTTGATATTTTGGGGAAAGTATGAAACACCCTGTGGAATATGTTAAGATAGCAAGGACTTAACTAGGACCAAAAGCAATGTTTTTAATGTAAAAATTATGAAAAAATGTTAGTTTTCTGCAAAAGCCAATATTTCAAAAAGAAATAAAGCTATTGAGATGAACTATAAAATAAACTATCGAGAAAAGATGTTCCTAGATGATAAAATGTTTTTCAAATTCCTTTGCTTTGTTAACATATTCCACCCAAGTGGTAACCAACTAAAAGCGGAACTCAAGAACTTGGAAGACTCCATCCGCAACCTGGAATGGAAATCTTGCTACAGTCTAAGACACTCGAAAAAATTCCTGAGGGCTTACGACCAAGAAACATCAAATATCTTCCTGGATTTAAGTAAGAACAATCTTTGGATTGTCATGGGGTTTTTAACAGGACACTATCTCCTCAATGAACACCTCAGTAGATTGAAACTAAGAAGAAACGGCGAATGCAGATTCTGTGGGGAAAATGGGGAAACACCAGAACATCTAATCAGTGAGTGCGCCGAGACGACAACCATTCGTGCCATGAACTTTGGTACGACTAATATTGGAGATGTAGAACTACCCTCTCTAAAACCGTCCCAGATACTGGCTTTTGTCAAAGCCCTGGGACTGTATGATGAGTTATAACTCAAGAAAGGGGGACACAATAGATCTGTAAGGTCGCAGTGATTAACCCCCCTCCCACTCATTCTAAATTCTAAAAAAAATATTCGTGGTGATTAACATATTCCACAGGGTGTTCCAAACTGTCACCAAAATATCAACATTTAGTGTTCCAACAAGTGTTATAATATTGAAAGATAAGAACTTTCATTAATTTAGAAAAAGGTACTAAAAATCATCGGTCCTCTAGAACATTTTTTTTCGTGCCGGTGAGTGTAATTAAGTTAAAGTAATAAGTAAAATAAAAGTCCAAGCTTAAAATAAATTGAAAATTATCACAAAAAACTCTTGCAACTTTAAGAAATCCGCTTTTAACCTAAGTTGCAAAACTGATGCCCTTGAGCGTTTGCTGTTTTTAACACATCTGCCTCTTTTTATAGAAACTTATTTCAAAATCGCATTTTTATTTGAAGTTTTCAAGAGTTTTCACTAGTTAGACTTGCACTTTTTAATTACAATTTATAAATGGTCCCAATTAAATTTCGCTCTTGTCGACAGTCTTAAATCAACGAGTTTGTTTGGAATGAAAATAAGAAACTAAATGACTATTAATAATGTCCGGCGACAGTAGATTTGGAAACAAATTAAAATCAATTTTAATAAACTCACAGCAAAATTAATGGTATTTGATAAATATAATTTATATAAAGTGTATTTAATTTGCCATTTAAAATCATTCAAAAATTTTGCACGTTTTTGTTAACAATGTTCAATGATTATTATTTTTTTGTACAGTAAAGGCTGTAATAACTGATAAGTATGTATAATTATTTAAAAATGTAAAACAGTTTTAACAATTCATTATTGTGCTAAAATAATGAATAAATTTTAGACACGTTTTGTAAATGTTTCAAATTAAGGATAGCTAAGGATTTAATTAAATTAAATATGCAAGTTAACTGGGCAACAACACATAATTTCTTACTTTCCACTGAGGGTAAATGAATTCTCTTCTAAATTTTATAGCAACAGTATTTGATAAAGAAGAAAATAGAACATATAGCTTCATATTAATATTAGTACAGGATCAGGCTGCAGGATTAGTATGTTCATCATATAGTTAATCAAAATTTTTACATATAATTATTTATGTTGCATTCTATTTTACTATTTTTTATATATATTTATGAATAGGGGTATACACTTTTAACAGGGTGTCAATTAAAAAGTGACCTCAAATAGGGGTTCTCAAGGTTCAAAGTCGGCATCTGTAGCTTCTATACAATTTAAAACTTGGAATTTTGTATTAGTGCCAATACACATAAAGTATTTATTAGAATGTATTTTAACATCAGGAAACTATTTTAACTTCTACAAGCTGGCTCAAAAAGTGTGACTGGATAGGTATTATTTCTTTAAATGGAACACCCGGTATATTATTACATTTTTGGCTTCCTGTCTCACTTTACATAATTCTAAGATATTATTAAATATGTTACTAAGTATTTACTATAGTTGGTCTGTACATATTTTCCTATAAATATCGTAATCTTAAACCATACAGGGTGTTCAAAATACCATGCCAACTTTTTTAAAATATGAAATGATTTTTCTTCGTTCTTTAAATGGAACCCCGTATACTATCTCTTTGTTAGATGGAAAATTAAAAAATGAACGTTTTTTAATTAAAATTGATTTGTATTTAAAGAATTTTAAAATAAAAAAAATTGGCCCCTAGAAATTTAAAATTTTTTCACCAATCCATTTAAAAAAAAAAACAAGAAAGAGCATGTTATATTTTAGAAAGTTTGGCATAGAATTTTGAACACACTGTATGGCTTAAGATTAAGATATTTATAGGAAAGTAAGTACAGACCCACTAAAGTAAGTAAGTAATTACTTTATATAGTTTTGATTTTTGAACATTTCTTGTATTTTTAATATTTTGTCTTAAAAAAGGCCAAAAATTTATTTTATTTACTAGTTAATATTTCTGAAATATATATGTAAAAATTAGATTTTGAACTTTGTATATTAACTGGGTCTATGCAATATTTTTTTTTTAAATAAAATTAATTTTTGTATATTTTATAAATAAAATATTACAAAAAATATTTATTTTTGTTTGAGAATACTTAAGAAATATATATATGAAAATTATATACTTTGTAAAAGAAAATCTGAATCATAGTCCGTAAAATACTGAGAAATGCGGCATAAACAGACAGATAGTAGTCAGATTGTGGTCTCTGCGGGACATAATTTCAGTCTGCCATGTCAACCTGTTGTCACTGCAATATGGGGCCTTGTTATTTACAAGAGATGCACAAATTCAATCTGGCGTATGCGGCATTATCGTGTCAAATTATTTTGACTTTAAGTTTTGATTATATAATAGACAAGTAATCTATTATACCGTATGGTGAATTGAAACACGGAAAATAGGAAATTTCATGTAAATTTTAAAATGGCCAAATATTATCTCCGCAGACAATTCTATGCAAAATTTTTATTACACTTTTTTAAAGTTTTAATTATGCCTAGAGTATTTGGAATAAAGATTATTTGCAATAATCTAGCTACAAATTAGTAAAATTATAATACGAACTACAAAATGTCTAATACAACTTTTGCATAAAATCATATGGAGAGATGAGATTTCCTATGTCCCGTTTTCCGATGCACCACACGATATATTATAATAAAATAAAATTAATATTATTAGAACAACGGGTTAGTACATTATAAAATAAATATTTTAGGACCATCTCGGTTGTACTAACCAATTCAGGTTTTCATACCACAATGAAAACAGGAATGTTCCGTACTAATGATTAATAACACGAGTCAAGCGTATTTGACCAGCTTATATTCCAGGCTTAGAGAACAAATATTTTATTCCCAGAAAACACATAGCGAACAATAAATTCTTAACTTGCTTTATACACACATACGGAAAATTTTAGATTGATTTAAAATATAACTTTTTAAGATATATATATATTATTAATGTATTCTTTTCCCCAGTATATTCCACAAATTAACATATATAGCATATTGATTTTATCTTTTATAGAAAGTATTTTAATAAAAAATACAAAATACCAAGTATGCGGCACCCAATTATTTTTATAACGAATATAATATTTATAGCTCAACGTGTTCTTTATGTCGTATAATCCATTTTAGTAATGACACTCTTTAGAACTGTTTGCGCTCTTGTGTACAATCATTTTTTTAGGTAATTTCGTTCAAAATGTTATTCATTATGCATTAAGATTTATCGCACAGTATCTAGATAAATATCATTTATTTTTATATTTAACGGAAAAAATAAATGGCATTGCCTGTAGGAAGATAAGACTTTTATTTTCCCTCTATTTTTCACTGGGTTAAATATTTTCCTTTCTTAATCCTTTATCTTTTTTTACTGGATAAAAATGAACGAGTTTCGATCTATCAGTAACAGACAAATTAGTCTCTTCTTTGAAGAAATCCTATTAAATGAACTAGAAAGGGCTTTATGGCTTATTTCCTATGAGTTCTGGCCATAGAAATAGTTTTATACATTGTGGTTTTTACTACACATATGTCCAAAATTATTACATATGATTGTTTGGTAAAATTAAAAGACGTTGAAGCAAATAACATCTTGTGGCAGTTTTATACGATAATGGCGTGATCAGAATACAGAGAAGAGCTAAAATACTACTAATACGCACAGCATAATAAAATATAAATAAATATTCCTTATGTTATTTTATATTTTGTTATAGTTTGTTCAAAACATGTGAACAATACCTACGTAATGAATATTTAATTCTAATTGTATTTTTAGATGCTCTATTTATCGATATACAATAATTTTAGATATATGTATGTGTATTCAAACATACGTATATATTTAATAGTTTTAATTTTAATAATGTTTAACGAATTCTTTGAAATAAAGAATGTTTTTACAGACCTCTACTCAAAATTAAAAGAAAAGAAGTGTTGAATCGTATACTTCGATATTATGAATAATAGGTAACAGCGTGCCCTCGTGTTAGGGGATCTAAATAGGGTTTTATTTATAAAATGCTAACTCACCTTGGTTGTTGGTTTACATTTTGCCGAGCCTGCGAATATGTTTAATTTCTTTTCGCCCGCTGGAGTTGGACACTGGTCAATATCCACATGACGTAGATCAATGTCGATGCCGCTGGTTCCCCTAAAAAATATTTCTTCGTTACGTATACAAAAATATATGTTAGAATTATAAAACATCATATAATGATGGCTTTCTATCAATCTATTAATATACTATAATGTCTTCAAAATTTACAAAATAAAATATTTTTTTTAAATACCGCTACGTTGATCCAACGAAGACCAACTTGGTATTTTACTAAAAAAATAAATTTGTCTAACGGACAAAAAATGCTTCGAAAGCAAAAAAACACAGAAAACAAAAAAAACTATTTAAAATATGGAACTACAACTATTCAAGAACTCTATTCAGTTTTTTTAACTAATCCGTCTATTAAAAACCAAATAACACATAAAATTTGTAGTTAGATAAATTTTAAATAGTTTTTTTTCTTTGTTCTTTGTGTTTTTTTTATTCCGACGTAGTGAAAGCATTTTGTGTCAGTTAAGTAAATTTGTTTTATTATAGTAAAATACCGCTGACAATTTGGTTTCCGTTAGAACACCGCAGCAGTGTTTACAAAAAATAACTGTTTTATTTTGTAGATTTTCTTACACTTGCAAAATACCCAGAAGACTTTTTTGAATAAGCAAATCAAACAGAAAAGTATAGGTATTAATAATTATATTATAATGTGTTCTGAATATCGATATAAAACATCTGTATACACAAATCTGTATACACAAGGCGATAATAAATCTATTTTTATAGTATATTTTTCATGCGGTATCTTTCCAAACTTAAACACTCGAAAATTATTTTATTTTCATTATGTTTAAGTCTTACTTAATTTAAAACTTATCGGTGTTAAAAAAAGGTTCTTTTGCCAAGACGCAGGACATGCCCGTAGGGACATGTTTAAATTTGAAATGGTTTGAAATTGGTCCTCGGGGAAGCCAGAATGCATCGGGTGGCGCCGATTTGAATCTCCATATTCTCGCAAATTTTCAATGCATGCCCCGATGCTGGTAAGAATATGGCCATAGTTTTTCACAGTGCATTATTTACTATTCAAAATAAACGATCAGTTTTATTAGTAGTCCTGGAATGTGAGAACAGCAAACATAGGAAGTATACAAACTCGATCTGAGATAAGTATGTCGTTTTTAATTTATTTAAACTAATATAACTTAATTAGTATTTTCTGTACACTGTGTGTAACATTCATCAACTAAATTTAAAATACAATTTAGCTAAAACTGATTGAAACTATTAGGCACAAATTTTTCCATGCTTAGTTCATAATGAATCGATTATGACATTAATTGAATGGATGCTCAGTTAACAGTTCTGTTCATATTACTGGCTATTAACATCAGTGCATCTGTTAACTGAAGTGCCAACAGTAGGCTTGTTTTTGACAAACACAGTTGAACTGTATGTGCATGTGACATATTATACTGTTGTAATTTAGATTACTTAAATATAAAAAATAAAGATTAATGATATAATTCTTATTTTATTTTTTGTCCCATCAATGTCGATTTACACGCCGTAATCTTTATTCAGTAGTATTTTTCTTGGTTATAGCTCGTTTTTAATGCTATCGCACTACAAACTGAATAATTAATCACCTTTATCACTTAATTTACTTGAAATCTATTAGCCAAGGTGTCTTTTGGTAGAGTTTATAAGAAAACCTATTAACTATATAATTAAACTTAATGAATTTGCCTCTAGACTTTGAAATTTGTAATTTAACTTGTTTGGTCTTTTAACAAGTGCTTAAAATATACTTTGAATCAAGAGAAATTTCAGTAAATGCGAATTTCAATTAGAGCTGTGTTAAAACTATAACAGTTTTAATATCAAATAAATATGGCAGCTGGTAAAATTGAATTGTTAAAATAAAATGTGTTACTGCAAAATATGGTTATTCAAAATAATACCATATGATAAAAAAAGGCGTCAAAGACGGCTAGAAATAACTACTGATAACTTTGGAGATGATAACTTGACTATTCTTTATATTCAATGGACCTTACTGCCAGTTGGCATTAAGGAGGTTGTAAGTATTATTATATTGAGTAAAAATTATTTCAAATGGTGTAGTTTAAAATTCGAGATAATATTTTTTTGAAAATAGACTGTGTCTGGAAATGTTTTATCCTTTTTTAATCTTTCCATAATTTCGGAAAAGTTTTATGTAAATTTTTAGTAAATGACGTCTAGGGATTGACCTTGCCAAAATAATTAATGATTGTCATGCCCCAACCAAGTCAATCTACAATGCCGTTTTTTTCGATCATATGGTATTTATTTTAGTAAAAAAGGTTATAAGGTTTATACAGTTTTATGACAGCTAATAAACCTTCTAAAACAGCCTAAAAGTAGCCCTAAAATTTTCTACGTAAACGATAAATTTGACCTAATTTGAGAATAATGATACCAGTTAAGTAATTTGCATACAATGTTTGGGAAATGCTTGCATAAAAAAATTAATAAATGTTTATAATGAAATGCAGGCCTCTGTGATTTTGCCCTTATTGGTTTAATTAATGTTTAGTCATTTCGAATTGGACCCTAGATGACCTATTTTGGTATAATGACAGTATGCTTTGTAACGTTCCTAGTACGTGATTATATAATGCATACGAAATAGTATTAGTTTATCTTGATTACATGTAGGAGCATAAAATATTTTTCGATATCCAGACTGTGGATATGTATTCATTTTTTTCTCTAATAAGTTTGTTTTATTGCTTATTTTCTGCTAGTTGTAAATGAATTTCTGTTGTTTCAATGTAATTATAGCGAACAATATACATTTCTTTTGAAAATCTGTCGGAAAATATAAAAAAATGGTAATTTTTGAAAGTTTTTGCACATTTATGATAATCAATATTATAGAGAATTAAAATCGTATTCTGAACAACTTTTATCTTCCTTTTTCTATTTAGTCACCACCCTTTAACTATATGAAAAAGAAAGTTCCTAAAAAGCCACGACAGTCTATGGACGACATATAATATGTATTTTTTTTGTTTTGGGCATGATGGAGTAATTCTGTAAATTATAACTTCAATAATATTAAATATTTCTCACTTATTGCAAACTCTAGCGCATCCTGTATAAGTAATACATTAATTTTGATATATTTAAATTAAACCCGAGATTAAACCATTACAAAATGTAGGTTTGATTAAAATAACTAATTTTCTCCAATTTAATTTAACTATCTACATATTTTAGGTTGAATGCTAGTTGTGATTTGTAACGTCCATTGTACATGTTTGTGCTTTATTCCGATTAGTTGCATGCCGAGATATTTTGCCTTTCATTCAAGAGAAAACGGAATACAATGGAAAGTGTGAACCGTCCAATTCAAATTTAGATTTAGCTTTCTCTCTAAAGCTTAGTGGAGTGTTTATACTCCCTGTGACTATAACAGATAAATTTAATCTAATTTTAGCTAACAACTATAAAAAATTGTATTCAATCAGAGGCGGCTTGGGAGTTCTAAAGGAGTGTGTGCGCAGCCTTCACGAGTAAAAAACGTATCTACAATTTTTAGTTCATTAAACCTATCGTTTTCATGCTTTTTTTTAATAATAAGGGGCCGTCTTGTTTTGAAAACACTGCGAGCTGTAATGCCTATTGCCTTTGTCCTCTTTCTATGCTCGCTCTCCTGTACCCTGTACCCTGCACCAACTTGTGCATGTCCTTAATAGAACGGGAGCATAGTTATTCTCAGGTTCTAGCCTTGTTCTCTCAAATAGTACGTGTCACTTGCAATCCAGAGCCCCCCAGTGACATATTATGTGCTCCGCTCTTTCAGGATCTTTATCGCAGAGTCTGCAGTAGAGACTTCCTTGATACAGGTTGGGCTTGTTCAGGTAGCTCTTGACAGCCACATGTCCTGTCAAGATTATTTAATCGTCTAGAAGTACCAGGTTAACATATCATCGTGCAATCAATTTAAAATGCACTTAATTTTCTCTTTATTCTTATATTTTTATTTCATTTTGGTGGTTCGCTGTGAACGTGCCACTGTGTCCTTTAGGACCATTCGCCACTGCTAAACACATATTTGGGCTATTATAAAGATTATTTAAAATATGTGACTGCTATTATTGATTTTAACAGTTATTTTCAATTTAATTTTATTATTTAACAAGAGTAGGCGAATTAATTAATATCTTATTTGATTTGGAAACTAAATTATTTAGCTTTATTTGATGACAGAATGTATTTTTGGCGTTTATAGTACGTAGATAATTATTTGATGTATGCGAAATAATACGAAGGATTGCTTAAATTATTCGTATGCAGATGTAGTTCGTTATTCATACCAGAATTAAAATGAAAACATAATTCCCGTAGTTCAATTCAAATATAGATTTATTTCCTCTTTTCGAGTTAACTAGTGTTAGGGATCTCTCAAATAATAATGTTGTTTAGTAGAAAATAAAAAAGTTATAGTGACAACTCTGACACCTCTACCACAATTTCATATTGAATAATGAATATATCTCATAAGTGTTTATAGACTAACTCAAATTAGATCATCCTAATGTTAAGGAAACCTTCGACTATAAGATAATAGATGCACAATTCTATAGTACATCACAACAACACTCGACCATTCTGTATGTCGGTCTTCCTGATGCCAATTATGGCACTAATTTTTAATCAAAAGTACAAGTATTCACTGCGGATAAATTCACACAAAAAATGTCCCACTTCTGATATTAGGAATCTCTCAAATAATAATGCTCTTTAGAGGAGAATAAGTATTTTATAGCAACGACTAATCTCTACAATGGTTTCTTATTGAATAATGAATATATCTCGTATTCTTACGTAACGCAGTTTTTGTGAACTGACTCAGATTAAATCATCCTAATATTAAGGGAACCATCTATTATAAGATAATAGATGCACAATTCTATAGGACCTCTAACACTAGTGTAATACTAGGTGGTTTTACTACTGGCTACTCTGCTTTTTTAACTCACTTAGGCATAGTGAAGTTCTGTAATTGAGTAAGGATAAAATGAGAAATATTTTAATTTGTTAAT